ATGGGGCACTCCACCTTCAACTGTGGACTCAGACCACATTTGCTTTATCAAACAGACTCAGTATTTCTCATGATCTACAGTCAAAGCAGGAGCTCATTAGTGGGTCACCAAAGTCCGGCCTATGAGCCAAGAGATCGCAATTCCAGTCTGAAGATTTCAAGTCCTCCCCTATAGACGAGTCAATGCCACCTAGACCTCATGCGATCATAGCACCTATGGTGCATAGGGGTATCTCTCGCACATCCATATGCTTCACTCTAAAAGGTGGATAGCTTTTTCGATCGATCTATCGATATGCATGTCGTGTGATGGCACATGGATGAGGCTTTGGCCCCCGTTTCTGTAGGCCATCCTCACACATAAGGGTCGCACAGTCCCTAGGCTCACTCATCCGGGCATATTCTCTGACCTCATCAAGGGCTATTCTATTAGAACCCTTCTCGGTTTGTTATTTATGCCTAGGTAATATGGGTTTTTTCCAATCGACTGACCTAGATCGTTAAACGCATATCGGTATCAGTAAACCATCGTTTTTTTAGTATGGTTCACGAGGGACCACATTCCCACTGAGTTCATGTTTCACTATATTATTTCATTTTACAAGCATTTATAAGGCCTTTAAAGGCTACATAAACCCAACAGAAAGGTAGTTTTGACATCTAATTATTCTATCTCTAAATCCAAACTTGCAGGTATACCTAAAACTGTATGAATGGATGACGTCGTCACAACATGTAAAAATATTTCATCAAAGTCAATCATTTTTTTACTCGAAGCCTTTTATCACATGACAAGCTTTGTGCTTTACTTGTTTCTCACCTTCATTCTTCGTATTGAAGACCCAATTCTTTTTCAATGCCTTCCATCCCTTTGGTAATTCAACCAAGTCATATGTGTAATTATTTTTGAAGGAGTCGATTTCATCTTGCATAACTTAATGCCACTTGTCATTTTGTTCATGCACATTGGCTTCTTGTAGACTTTTATGATCTCCACCATTAGTGAGCATGACATACTAAGTGGGAGAGTACTTCCTTAATGGTTGCCTTACCTTGGTTGACCTTCTTAATCGAGTTGCAATTAATAGTTCTTGAGGGGGCAGCTCCCCCTACTCAGCATCACCATGTATTGGAGAGTTATCATTTGTCACTTCTTCATGACCTCCTCGTACATCTCCCCGATCCTTGCATACAACTGGATGAGGGATTGGAATAAGGTTTATAAAGTCATCCAAGAAAGCTTGTGGTTTCTCAACTTTTTCGAAGTTTTTAATTATTTGATCTTCACAAAATACGTCATCTTGTCTTTCGATCACTTTATTTTCCTTTGGATCTCATAACATGTAGCCAAATTCTTCGTTTGCATAACCCATGAAGATACATTGTGTTTACTTATCATCAAGTTTTGACTTTTATTCTTTTGATAGATGAATGAATGCTTTGCATCCAAACACCTTCAACTCCTTTGGAAGGAAAAAGGTATTATTGTAAAAAGAGAAGGGCTTTTTAGGTTGATACCAATTGTGATGACATGAAGTTTATTTTCATATCTAATTATAAAATTTAAAACTTGAAAAATAATATAGATTGAGTAGATTTATGAGCACTTGAAATTCAACGGTCCAAAAAATACATTACAAGATGTACTACTTTCAAGTCTTGAAATCTATTTTTTCTCATGTCCATACATCTTGAGATCGAGATGATTATTTATAGGGTATGTAGATATATGGACATGAGATCGAGATGATTATTTCTCATGTCCATACATCTAGTTTCAAGTAAGGTGCACCTTGAAACTGTAAAGCAACCATCTTAAAGATGAATGCAAGTAGGTGTTCCATAAAAAAATAATGGAAACTAATGGTCCAATTGATTTTTTTATTTAAATTATTATTTTTAGTTTGAAAAATTTATTTATTTATTCATATTCATAATCTCCGTGTTAGATATCACGTATCATTCAAAATTAAGTATTAAAATCCATCTCAAAAATAAATTTATTAAGAAGCCTGCATTTCTACATATGCGGGCTTGGCTACATAGAAACCGGGTCCTAAAATAAAGGTTAAAAAAAAATAGCAGGCCAAAGAGGGCTGAACTGGGCTGGAAATATTCTAGCCCATCCTTTGGGCAAGAGTTCGTAGGGCTAGGCTGATGGGGCTGGCCCGAGCCCGCCACAGCCCACTGCTAGCCCTATCCGCTCATAAATATCAAGGAGTTTATTTTTTTTCAATATATAGAAGGCTCTACGAATTAACCAATAAAGCAGAGAAACCAATCATTTCATTTTTTCATTCTCTCTCTAACGTTTGTGCTCTCTCTCTCTAGTCTTTACCGTATCACTCTCTAGCACAGCCATGGCGGCCATGTCCGTGGATTTGGCGTCTGCGTTCATGGGGCTTGCAACGAGGCAGGTCACTGTTAGAGCTCGAGCAACGTTATGTCCATCGAGACTGAAGCTCTCACGGAGCTCTGCTACTGCAGCTTCAATGGCGGTATCGTTTACTTCTGGTTGGAAAGGGAGGACCTGTTTCATGAATTCAAAGAGACGGAGCTCTAACACTGCCATGGCTTCAGCTACCACACAAAGCCAGACCCCTGAGGCCCCCACCCAAATACCACCTGATACTCGAGTCCCTGCAACTATAATCACTGGGTTTCTTGGCTCTGGGAAGGTATCTGAATTGTGTCTCTTTCTCTCTCTAGCTTTTTGGTTTATTCTGTAACGGTTTTCTCATTTCTCACTCTCTCTCTCACTCTCTCTAACTTCTGGTGAATTGATTTCATTGGCTCTGTGAAGTTATTGCCTCTCTCGATTTTATGTCTCTCTAACTTCTTCTGCCTTTCCTTGGTTCTGGGAAGGTGATTTCCTGTTCATTTGTCATTTTATTTTTCTCTTTCTTTCTCTCTCTCTCTCTCTCTCTCTCTAACTTCTGCCATTTCTTGGTTCTGGAGGGTATAACCCATTTCCTGTTGTTCCTCTCTCTGAATTTCTTCTGCCATACTGGTTTCAATGAGATGGTCACCCACTTCTCCATTTCTCTCTCTAGCTTTCTTCTGTCGTATTGGTTCAGAAAGGCAGCACAGTTATTCTTCTCTCTTTTCTCTAAAACTTCCAAGGTATTGGTTTGCTTGTTTCCGGGAAGGTAACTGAATTCTCTTTTGCCCTCTCTATTCGCTTTAACTTTCTCTCTCATTTTCTCTTCTAAAGAAGACAAATTTCTCTGTCATTCCCTATCTCACAAGAAAAATTTCTTGTAACAAATATCTTAGGGATTATATAATTCAAATGGTATTGGTAATTATTTATCAGTGTGAACTTAAGAAGTAAATGATTTCTGTTGTGCTTGTGTCGATGATATTCTTATTATCTTACCTTTAGGCATGCTATTTTCCTCTGATTGTTTGTACGATTTCAGGTTTAGATTGTTTCAAATTTTTATTTATTACTATTTTTTATGTGTTCGTAAGCATAATCTCTAAGCAAAAGTTATTGAATATCCGATTATGCCTTTTCGTTTGATACATATTTTATTATGTCTTTTCCTTGTTTCACAGACCACTCTCCTCAACAATATCTTGACTGCGGATCATGGAAAACGAATTGCGGTCATAGAGAATGAGGTACTCTTGGATGGATATTCTAATTATTGTCTTCTAGACTGTTATTTCATTTAATCCCATCTTGCTTGTAACATTGTTGTTCTACTTCTACATTATCTATGCACAAAGAAAAAGGGATTGTATACTATGTAACCATTTACCTCTGGTACAAGGAGGTTGCAATCACCTATAACCATCCGATTGCGGAATCTAACAGCTTGAGAGTGTCTGATAATTTGAAAAAATTTCTTTTGAACTTGGAACCTGGTCAATGGAACAAATGTACCTACGCAATTTGACATCCAATGGTCAAGATTAATGGTGACTTCCATGTACCAACTATAAATGGTTTTCTTGCGTACTTGTCCATAAAAAAATTGCTTCTCTTAGGGCGTACTACAAGTCAAACTAGATACATCTTCCTTTCAGTGAAAGTCCATCTTGAATACTCAACTTTCTCGAATTTTCATCAGGAAAAAGTATAATCTGACTGTTAAAGGAAGAAAGATTTAGTTAGATCTTCAATCTACCTTTCCACTAGTTGGGTTTTTCACTTCTGTTATTCGTAAAAATATTAGCCTTGGGTAGTCATAGTTGTCGAGCATTAGGACATTCTTTAATGGAAAGAGTTACGAGGATTCCTAAGAAAAGAACTGCATTTCTTGATGTGTTATTTCAAAAATCAAAATTAACAAAAGTGGAGCTCACGAAAGTTGGAAGGGACTATGGAAAATGTCGATCCTTGTTCTTTTATACTAGCTCGATATGTTAAAGTTAACTGGTTTTATGCTGGAAAAAAGTCCAAATTCTTTTTTTTTTTGTAATGAATTCCAAATTCTTTAATGGTTTTGGTATGACAATGTTTACATAGAGAACGTGGAATATGGAGATATAGATATCTATGGGCCTGTATGTTAGTATTTAGTTGTGTGTCTACCTGTGTGCATAGTGCATATACAAGTAATGGTTTCTATATAGATTAGGCGCAGCGTAATGCATATAGAAGTGATGTTAGAATCCAGTGTAAAAGAATTTACACTTGGTCATTATCTTGCTAAGCTCTGAATTATTGTTGTTATATTTTCTATTCAAACTTAGATATGCAAGAAAGCACTGTTGACTTGCTATTATATGATTTTTCAGTACGGTGAAGTTGACATTGATGGTTCATTGGTAGCTGCCAAAACAACTGGAGCAGAGGACATAGTCATGCTTAACAATGGTTGCCTCTGCTGCACTGTAAGAGGTGACCTGGTCCGGATGATCTCGGAACTGGTTGATAAGAAGAAAGGGAAGTTTGATCATATTGTAATTGAGACAACAGGTTAGCTCATTTATAAAGCTATACTTCTTTTCCTTTTTCTTTCCTTTCTGGTGTATGTTCATTTTTCTTCTTTTTTTTCTGTTATTATGAACAACATGCTGGGTACTTGGTTTCATATTCTTGGTTATGGAGTGGACGGTGGCTAGTGCTGGATTCAAAGCTTGGATGGTTTTGTTTTGAAATCATTAACAGACAGCAGTGTTGTGTTTCTTTTTACATTTCATTCCCACTGCTATGTGGCGTCAATGGGTTGTGGGAAGAACAGTTTGTTGTGTTAGATAAGGATTACTGAAGGATTGGACTATGTTTGGGATTTACGTTTGCGGAAATTTGCATGAGTTGTGCGGTGATCAAGGCGGCCTTTCAGAGAGACTAGCTTAGTTCAAAGGGTGCTGTTTCCTATGGTGAAGCAAATTGTGGTGATGAAGATATCTCTCTTGAGATACCTTCTGATTTAGAGGTGTGGTTGGAGTTTATGTGATTTTGTGCGCTAATCTTACTATTTTATGAGAGTTTGTCATGAATCCTGCAGTCTTGAGCTCCTCACTGTGGCTATATTGCTGTATGTGAATTGGGCTTGCCCATCTGTCCTCTGACATAAATGAAATTCTTCAAATTTCTACCTATGAAACCTGGGTGGTGCATCATTGAGGTGATCACCCTTTCACTACCTATAGCAGTTACTTAACATCCTTCTTTCCCCTAGGAGATGGAAGTACATGTTCCTTTGGATTGGAACTAGTGCTTCCTCTTCCTTTTTGTTGGGTAATGGAGCCCTAATGGCATGTAATGATCATAACCGTTGGCTTGAAATCAATCAGTCCTCTCAATGTTGAGATAGATTTGCCTCATGCATGCATTAGAGCCAGTAATGTATGGTATGGCTTACACAATCAAGTCATCCGCTATTTGTTCCTGATGGGTAGTGGACACTAACTGTTCCTGGTGGCTTACATTCACCTGGTTATTGTTTATCCACAACTTCGATATTGCTTCTTACTAAAATGAATGCCTGTTGTGTTATCCTAACATTTATGAAAAGGGAATCAGCTACAAAAAGCAAATGAATCCATTTGGAATATATTAAATAATAAATACATTCATCTTTTTAGATGAAGATCTGAAACCTCCATGTCTATTCCGTCCTATAGCTTAGTGCATTTGTTATTGTTATTTCTAATTGTGAAGAAATGATTAACAATTCAGGACTTAGTGCATTTGGATCAGGACTTAGTGCATTTGGAAGTCCATCAGTTTGTTGCACTGAGGCTTTTCTTTTCCTATCCCCAGGTCTGGCAAATCCAGCGCCAATAATTCAGACGTTCTATGCTGAGGATAGTGTTTTTAATGATGTCAAGTTGGATGGTGTAGTTACTTTGGTTGATGCAAAGCATGCTCCTTTCCATTTAGATGAGGTCAAGCCCAAAGGAGTCGTCAATGAAGCAGTCGAGCAGATTGCATATGCTGACCGCATCATATTGAACAAGGTTCGTTTTACCTTTGGGAGAGTCATGAACTTCCTTTGATGTATAATGCAGTTGAGCAGATTGCATGTGCTGACCACATTATATTGAACAAGGTTCATTTTGCTTTTAAGATAATAAACTTCTATTGATATTTCTTCTTGTACTGCACAAATTACCATGCACACTCTAAATTTGGAAAAATGATAATACCAATAATGCAACCTCAAATCTATGTTCACCAGAATCCTTGTGGGAGTAGGGTTCCTGTTTTTTGGTAGGGTTTCTTTAATCTCATGGTTTTCTTGACTGGCAACTTCAATTGATTAAAAAGGTATTTTTTATGGAATGGTGGTTGTCTTAATGTAAAATTCATGTGATTTACTGTTATTTATGGTCTCCAGGTTGATTTGGTTGGTGAGCAAGAAGTTTCATCCTTGATTGACCGAATAAGGGTCAGAATCCAGCTATTCCTGCAGTATATCTGGTTTCTGTAGTGCAGTGGCATGGCTCTTGAATTTATTTATTCTATTCGAATGTGACACTTGTTCTTTTTTTATTTTTATGTTTTGTTTTTTTTTGGGTTGGGGGGGTGAGGGAGGGGTTTTATAGTGAGTTGTGAACTTGGAATGGTGATTTGTATCCTTTTCAATAATTGCAGACCATCAATGGCATGGCTCGTCTTAAGAGGACTGAGTATGGTAAAGTTGATTTGGATTATGTTCTTGGGATTGGAGGCTTTGATTTAGAAAGGTTAGGTTTCTTCAACTTATGTCTTCTCATCAAACTGGTTTTAACCAGATGGTTCTATTATCATTGCATGTGGACTACATCTATTTTAATATAAGGGTAAGTTTGGTTCGTGCGTAAATATTTCCCGGGAAATATGTAAATTGTGTTTTACACGTTTGGCTCATTCCAAATGCATATCTAAATATTTTACCATGGAAGGGCCAAAACATGGTAAAATCAAACCACACCTCTTGAGGTGTGGAAGTATTCCCTGGGGAAGTTTTGCACACCGAAGGTGAACTATTTTATGAAATCCAATTTATTTTATATTTATAATATGCAATATACATATTTATATTATATTATATACTATAATATTATATATAATATAAATATTATTATTTATATAGAATATTTATATTATATTATATATTATAATATTATATATTATATATATAATATCTATATATGTATATAATAAATAATATTATATATAATATTATATATAATGCCTAAATATTCATATTGTATTAAATAATACAAATTTATATGTTATATTTATATCATATTATATATTATAATATTATATA